CCCATTACTGCAGTAACCCACTCGACACCTACTTTACAACAGAGCAGTACCCACATGGCCACATTGTATGTAGGTACTCGTCGTAACTCACCCAAAAATGAAAATGTCGTAAAAAACCGACGAGAGAACATAGGTTGTGACGGGACTGGCTCAAGCGAAAATAGTGAACTAGGTAAAATTAAATTTTGCCGCCCCTAACAATATAATACTATTTTGAAAATGGAACCATCTTACTAAAGCGCTGATTAAGTGCCACCCAAGTCGTGGGCCTATGTCGCCTACCCCTTGAGCCGGGCTTGGGTTGTGTTCTTACTTTGAAGGTAATGAGTCAATTCACTGTATATATTGAAGCTATAATAACAAATTATTGGAACTACCTACTTAACGCAAATTTTTACCTCCGTCTGTATATTGGAGAAAACATAATATGCGGATGTCCGGTGTATTCTTAGTTGCTAATATTATATAACATACCTACTTATAGGTACCTTTATTTTAATAACTATTACATATTGTAAGTAAAGTCTTGCAGAAAACATTCTTTTTAGATTCTGAGTGAAACGATGAATGTATTGATTTTAAACTGGTTGTTTATATTTGCATTTTCTATACACGATTACATTTTCAAAATATTTTGATTTATTTTGAACTGTTTAGGGACATTTTCAGTTTCCAATTTTATTAGTTTTTTTTTTATGAATATCAATAAAAATGTATTAAATGGTTAAAAAAAGCTTGGAAATTTAATAGAGGGCTTCTAGTATATTGTTTCAAAGGTATATGAAAAATATTAAAAATCCTAAGTCACAATTTTTTTTCATAAGCATTTAAAGTCCAAAAATTGACAAAATATGGAAAAATCACGAAAATTAGCAAATTATTTTGAGTTAAGAATTCCTAAAAATTTTTCTTTTTAAATCTAAGATTTTAAAATGTAATACAAGATTCTTTATAAGATTATCTACCTTTATCAAGAAATAAATGTCTATAAGAAAGTCAAGTTAAATTTTTATGAGCGTTTGAAATTCAAATTTTTACAATATTGGATATTCACTCGATTTTTCATGTAGCGATTTCCTTATTTTGTTGTAATTCAAAAATGAATAACTGTAGATACATGAAAATTTCACTGAATGTTATACTAGCAGTTCCTTTACACCATACAATTTTGAAAATATTTTGACGCTTTTTGAGCTGTTTACGAACATTTTCAGTTTTCAATTTTTCTAGTTTTTTTTTCTATAAATATCAATAAAGTTTTATCTGTTGGGCCAAAAAGTGTAAATACGTAAATACGATGAACTACCACCCTACTACGAGTATTATACTATTATTTACACCGACGGGCCAAGTTATCTCTGTAATTCTATGAATAATTACATATATAATAAGTAATAATATTAATAATGATTAGGTATAGCTTATAGGTTAGGTTATAATATGTCCTGTTTTTGTAGGTACTGAGTAAATTGTTATATTTTTCTTTTATTAATGATGCTGTTACTCCTATTATAACATTTCGGTCTAAAATATAGTTGTATAATATTTTCCGGGTATATGCAATATAATAACTTACTATTATTATAAATTATTATTTACCAAAATAAATTTAATATTTCGGATTTTTTTTTGTTTAATTAATTTTACAAAATCGAATTAATTTTAAATGTGTGGTTTGGGAAAAAATTAACTGAAAGTGCCAATAAAATGAATTAACTCGTTAAGTTACTGAATAACATGGGGAAAATGTAACTCGTCAATTAACTTAGTTAAAAGTAACTTAGGTAACTTTTTAACTAAACTTTAACTCGTTAATGCCCAGCCTTGATGATGCCCCCGGCCCCTATGGACCACACAGGTTGAGAACCGCTGGGTGTACGACATTTCACATTTATATGATTGCCCTCTATACTTGTATATTGTATATATTATATAGGTACATGGTCGAGCGGAACTGCAAGTTGGCCCAAATCGGCGGACTGTTGGACAACAAAGGCTACGGGATTGTGATGAAAAAAAGTATTCTATCTAATATTGTGTGCGGTTGAAAAAACAATTTATAACGTCGTATTATATTATTATGTTTTGTCACTACACATTAACCGATTTGTATATTATTTTGTGTCGTTGTGTTAAACACAGACTCGAGTTTTCGAAACGTTCTGAGCGCAAACATATTGAGCCTGCAGGAGAAGGGAAAACTGACGGCGTTGAAGAACAAATGGTGGAAAGAGAAACGCGGGGGCGGAGCGTGTCAGGTTAGTGTGACGGTCTGGTTCGAAGTAAAAAAAAAATCTCAGTATAAGCTTTATTATAATAAATTAGTTATTCGCGTGCATATACGGCACGCAGCACAGAATCGTTGTTGGCCCGGAAACCTACTTTTAGACGACGGGTCGGGTCGTAATAGGTACATAATATAGTTTCAATAGGGCAGCTCCTAGTCCGGCGAAGGATCATTTTCCTCCAAATACGAGTAACCGTTTTCCTCTAAAAAAAATTATAAGGAAGGAAGTATAATGTTACTGCTGATATTTTAATATTTTGAAATGAGTTATGACGTAAAGACCGGATTTATATGTTTTTACATATCGTTACTGGGTCTATGCAGTCTTATGATAGTAAAAAATGTGGACGATTCGTTCAATTCTGAATGCGTAGAAAAAAGTTTTTTTTGCATATTTGAGAATATTTCATGGGTTGGAGAATATTCAACCCATTTAGCATATTTTGGAATATTTCGTAAATTGTGAGCAAAAATTTGTATTTATTTTTAATTTTAATATTACGGTACTCTGAAAATTTTTTTTGACCATTTCCAATTTATTTATTTATTTTTTCATTTTGATAAAAATAAAACAATCAGTATTATCAAGGTTTATCTATGTATATCTACTGATAAGATCAACTTATAAGTTTATCAAATATTCAAATATCAAAATTTTGTTTTTGTGTTTTAATATTATACTGTTATATTTATATTATATTCCAACTTCCTACTCTTGCTAAAATGCAATACTATTCCATTAGGTATAATACGCAACTCTTAATACCTAATTAATATCTCACTATAAAAATATAGTTGAAAAAAAATTTAAAAAAATTAAATGCATATTAAAGCATATAATGATGTTTTTTGATTATTTTTGCATATTTTAGCATATTTTTTAAATTTTTGAGAGAATATAATAAGAATATTTGAAGGGTTTTTAGAGAATATTAGCATCATATTTTGGGTATTTTAAGAGAATATAAATCCGGTCTTTAGACTTATGAGTATTTTTAAATCGTAATATTTTACACGCTTACTGCAACTCGCTTCAAAATTAAAATATCCGACAAACACTTTCGCCGAACACGAGACATGTTTTTATAGGTTTATGATTAATAATAATTAAATTCACTCTGATATTAAAACTAACGAAGCAGATGGAGGACTGCTGAACTTAAAATATTTGCCATGTTACACACCTGTAAGACGGAAACAAATAACAACACGTCATGTGGGCGAGACGTCCTCTTTAATAATATACTCGTACTTTGCGCCCAACACTGAATATTTATATATATATATAAGCTACATAATGCTATATAATATTTCCTAATATAAGACCAGGGCATGATTGTTGAGGAAGTGTGGGGGGGGGGGGTGTAGAGTAGTTGCACCTTTTGTATTAATAAAATATAATGTTATGTAGGACACCGACAATAACGAGGCCAGCGAGTTGAGCATGAAAAACGTGGGCGGCGTTTTTATCGTGTTGTGCAGTGGCGTCGTCGTTGCCGCCGTTCTAGCGGCTATGGAAATGTTCTGGACGCTATGGAAAACGACCAGCAAAGAAAAGGTTCGTACACATATATAGTGCCACTTATCGATATAATATTATTTTTTTATATGCCCAACATATCCGTGGTTAAGAAGGAAAACTTTGAAAATGATGTACTACGCGAAGAATATAAAAATGTAATATGATTTTCTCGTGTTTGGAGTTTGGACCAAGAGTCTGATGACTTTCATTTTGATGATTACCATATAATTTTTCTACTTTTCTTTATTTGGTCATCATTATTAAGCCTACGTTACAAAAATGTTGTTAACCACGTCGAAATGTTACGATGAGAAAAATGCTAAACGAAACATAGGGAAAAAATAAAAACGTAATAATAATAATCGAGCAAAGCACGCGGTCATGTCATTAAATATCATTTTAAAAGTGTCTCCGGTTACGACTGCAATGTTGGCTTTTTAACCACCGATATAAAATACGCTTGACTGATCTCTTGCATCCGTCCCCGCAGGTGTCGTTCAAGAGCGAGTTCAAAGACGAACTGAAATTCATCGCCAAGTGTCGAGGTTCCACGAAACCGGCTAGGAGGAAGCAGAACAGCAGCGCGGACACCTCGAACCCGACCGGATCCAATCAGTACATGAACTCGGACCGACACTACGACTACGAGTCGTGATGCCGCTCAATTGACGGGATACCAGCTGTCGGGAAATTATTTCCATATTACCCCTTGTCAAACGCGATAGCGTCCGCGTACAGGTTTTTTTTTAGTCCGTAAATAATATACAACAATATTATATTATATTACACAATACGATAATTATTATATTATTTATTAATAGTATTCATCAGTATCTATTATTATTATTATTATTATTATTATTATAATAAAACATACACATACTATGTATACCTATGTATTGGCTCTTAAAATGTAATGAAGACAATATTATTCGAGCGTATAAAAAATAATAATTAAAATAAAAATAATTTTTAAATAATAATAATAATAATAATAAAAAAAATTATCACAGTCATTTTGTTTTTTATTTTTTTTTTGTAAACATAAAAAAACGATCGATTGAATTCCTATTTACAAAAATGTATTTACATTCCCGCAAAGCCACGTGCGGACGGCTTTGCTCTCGGCACGACGGCGGTAGAGGTATTTCATAATATTATAATACAGATTCGCGATTTCCTTGAGCAGGACTACTGCGACGCCGCCGCCGCCGTAGATGCTACCGGTCCTGTCCTGTCCACGTTGATGGGCGCGGCCCGTTCCATCAGACACTCGATGCTGGTGCTCTGCTCGTCGGACAGGCTGGACGCGGACGACGATTCGCCGCAAACGGTCCGCGTGACGGAAACTGCGTCGTCGTCGTCCCTGTTCATCTCGACCAGCACGGTCGTGTAGTCGGGCGGCGGAGACGACGCGGCCGAAGTTTGTTGGACGTCCGTCGCCGGCAGTTGCGTCGTCCCCGAGAGGACAGTGGTCTGCTGATGGTGGTGCGAAGACGTCGTCGCCGCCGCCGCCGCCGCTTGGACGGTACGCGCGGCGGCCGACGAAGACGACGAAGAAGACTCACCGAGTATCGCCGACTGATGGTGGTTGCCGAGTACGTGCGCCAACCTGCGCACGCTCCGCCGGATGCTCTGCCGCAACATTTTTGCGATTCTATAATTGCAAAAGAAAAACAAACACGCGAGCGCGCACGGTTGATAACGGTTCGTTTCGTCGCGAGTGTGAGATAGGCACTCGGAAGTCTGGCGGCCGGTCGTCGCCGACAAGCAGTGACGAAGTTGCCGGCGACGAGGCGGCAAGCGGTGTGCGTTAAAGTGCCCGTGCCAAGTGTCAAGAAGAAAACCACCAAGTGTGAATCGCATGCATATTAAAATACGTATAGGCATATGTCTACATATTATAACTACGAAGAATGTTAATTTTTTTTCTAAATACGTGTTATTATAATATATCATTATTGTTTTATATAATTTATAATGTATTAGGTACACGTTAAAAATGTATTATCAATATTAAACTTTTTTTTTACATTTAATTTTGCATTCAACAGTCTGAGATAAAGAGTAATGACTAGGTGGTAGTATAGGTATAAAAATATGACAAAAAAAATGTATCACAACATATTAACATAGGTAGTGATTATCAAAAATAATAATATTATGTACAAGAATAAAATATGACGTAAATACATAATAATATATATATATATAGTCGTGTAAAGCAGAGCGTGCGAAGATAGAAAATACACTACACTAAAACTACTGTTAGTCGTTCTCGTAAACCGTTACTAATTCAGTGAATCGTAAAGACCTTGCTCCGGTGGCCGTGGAATATGACGGCGGCGGCGTGTACTTGGGCGGCGGGTCTTCGATCTGCACGGCCGCTGAGCCGTTCACGCCCGCCTCGGACGTCGCCTCTCCGCTTTCCGGTGGCCTGCGGGTCTCGATCACTGGCCGGTACAGCATCTGGATCCGCTGTTTAAGGTCAGAGTAAGCAAACGGTGTTGTTCAGTGTGTTGTATACCAGCGGTACCGCCGATACCAGTGGTATACGCTATACGAGGGGTGTTGTTATGAAATCCCCTGCTTGGGGCCCCTTCATTATAATATAATATATATTTACAATTGTGTATATATTAATATGTTTTTAATCCTAACTTATTTAAAAATCTTAAAAGTAGACTAGAAAACTCATAGTTATAGCGGGGAATAGTTTATCTCGCACACACCATTGAAAATGCAGTGTGCCAGGGAATCTTAAGGTGCAGTCATTGGTTGTTTAATTGCACGAATCAACCCTACAACTGTTTTGTTATGATTTAAGCCATGAAGTCAATCATGACCATTTGAATCATTCATGTTCACTGTTTGTCTTTGAACATTTTAACTGGGCAGTCTGTAAAAATTTATAAGTAACTATTAACACCTCCTCCCCCCTCCATTAAAAATCCTAGTTACTCCACTCAATTCTACGTTACCGCGGTCTACTGGACCGCGTCACTATTATACATAATATAATATTATAAGTTATAACAATGTAACGGTGCACACTCACGTCGAACAAGTCCGGGGGTCCGGTGGCCAGGTACCGGCAAGTCTGCACGATTCCGGCGAACGGGACGATGAGCAGAGGAACGATCTGCAGCAAACAGCCAAACTCCCGGCTGGACGACGACCAATACGTGGACTGAGACACGCTTTTCCAGTTGTACAGCCACCGGTATCCTCCGTTTTTGAACACGGACGTGCTGAGTAGCTGCGAGGGCAAGGATATCGTCATTATATAATAATATTATACGCATGCGCATATAATACGCCTATCCAAATGGCATGTTTTATACAACAATTCATTTGTATATGTTATGATTTGACGACGCTTACGATGAGAGCCACTGGCACGACGATGTTCCAGTCGAACGACAGCATCGGCGCCATCCACACCTGAAGGTGATGGTTGGCCTGCGAAAACAGCGTTGCCACTACCGTCTCGCCGCTGTATGGACGACCGCGCACCATGAACAAGGCTCCGATTTCCAGCAAATACAATATCATTATCCACCAACCGCATCCAACGCAGTAGTCCATCAAGTACACGATGAAAATGCCCAGCTGAAAAATTATAACGAATTGAAATACTGCAGTGGTATAACATATTATTGTATATAACGGACAGTCATATATGTGATCAATGATCATAAACAATGTCCATTTTGACAGGCTTTAGTATTTTACATATAATATCTATTTATATAAATAAAAGGCAATATATGTGCGTTGGTAACTGTACGAGAGTGATATCCACAGGCAAAGTCTATCGCCCACTCATTGTTCTGAAATTTGGTATACAGGTGTTATATACCTAAGGATGTGCATTCGATGCCAATTTTTAAAATTTGCATTTTAAGGTAGGGCTCACTCAGGGATTTTATAGCACATGAAAAATGAATATTTTTTTGTTTTTATAGGATTCTCACTTTGCTTATTGTACAAAAAAATAATTATTACTTATTATAATTGTATATAATTATATGTATTTATTATATTTATAATAAATATTAAATAAATAAATAAATAAATATTTGGTCAAAACCACCCAAATAACTATTTTAAAAATAACTCTAATTTATATATAACGAAGTCTTCTGGCATTATTTAATTTGTAACGGGCAACGCCATGTAGGATCAACTATTATCATTATTAATTAAAACAATTAACTTTATCGTCATTGGCGATATAAGAGTATGACATTCTCATTACATTGTAATCAGTCGTAATCTGTGTCTTGACGTGTTGTCGGGAACCGGGACACTATTGCGTATCATGTTTATTTATTTATTCGTATGACTTAATAATGAGAGCACTAACAAAATTTTTTCCTATACGTATTATGCAATTCAATTTTAGTCCGAACTAAGACTGTTGCCAGTTATGAAGGTTTAGGGAAAAAGATTATTGTCCCTATCCGTAACAGAAAATGTCCGTTATAGACAGGTCGAACGTTTTAGACTCGAAATGCAATTTCTATCTTTTTGCAGGGACTTAATCATTTTGTCTGTTAACTCAGGTTTAACTATACTTTCACACTATACTATAGTTACGTCAAACTTTGAGTCCACGATGACACTTGTAACTGTGTAAGGGTATTATAGTGGATTATAATAATATATTTTATTCGGATTTGAATTAATAATTCGACAATATTATACGACACTCACTTCAGTCGCCATAAATAGACCGATCGAAAAAGCAGCCGCACACGACAGAAACGTGATCGTTGTGCGCCATTTCCTCAGCTTGAACGGATGCAAAGATATGATGCCGCTGACAACGCAGTGCCATATCGCGATCTGTAACGAGCAAAAAAGAGTTAGTTTTACGCATAATAATCGATCGACCGATGTTTGTAATAATTGTATGGTGTTTATTGTATTGTACGTTTGCGTCTGAAAACGTACTTGTTGTCCAATGCCAAACATGATGAGCACGAAATAAAACAGGACGGACCAGAATGGCGAGATGTTCTTGGCGCCGATCATGGCGAACGTGGCCGGAAACAGTTCGGTCGCCAAACGCATGGCCTGGTATCCGCTCTCCTGCGGCATCCCCGGCACGTTGTTCTTCATCGTCCTCTCGCCCATGAACAGACTGCTGTGCTGCATCCATCGCACGGGCGTCAAGTGTTTGCGGGCCTGAGCGGAATTCTGCTTGAACAGAAACGTATAGGAACTCATCCGTTCTGAAAGCACAAAACAGTGACGGTTGACGACGTGAGGTCTACGATGCGTTGGTTTATACATACATATATATATACGGTATAGGTGGGGTCGGGTTTAATTTATGTATATAGTAACTTACGAGACTTACGCATGAGATATTCCTCGGAATATTTGAACTGAATGGGGGGGGGGGGGGGGGGGGTGGAGAAAAGGACTAAAGACTTACCGAAAGAACTGGGCAGGTACATGTATCCGTGGGCTTCGAGGAGATGGACGCACGTGTTGGCTAAAAACGCGGCCAATACGAGTACGGCTATTGTTAGGATGATCACTAACGAAGCGTCTCTGTGCAGCAAATGCTTCGGCCGATTGTGCGAAGTGATTTGCATTGTGCACGCGCCGAGTATTCCCCACGTGAGGAACGTCTCGGTGAACGCCGCCACCCAACTCTGGAATATCGAAATAACGGTGTAATGTATAATGGAGATGGTCAGCGATAACAATATTATTATAATAGTTGTTTCTATATAAACAAACACTTAATCACAATATTTAAGTGTGATAAAACAAGTTGTTACATTGACAGTATGACGTTAATATGACGATATTAATAATATCACGGCCGCGTCATGACAAGATAATTATATTATATAATATACTCGTCAAAAAATGTATGTTATCATTATAATCGTTACGGCAAAATGTAAAGTAAAAAATAAAAACTCGAACGAAGAAAAAACCCTTGTAACGTCGTATAATATTAGACGATTGTAGAAACAACAATACAAGGGATATTTCGTATATTTTTTTTTAACGTTTATGAACAATTACTTTTGATAATCAATAATCGTGAGGAAATGTTAATGAATATTCTTAAAATTTCAACAAAAAAAAAAACACAAATAATAAATTCCTTCAATTTCCTGAAATTCGAGTTTGCAAATCACTGTGTATCATGTGGATGTAATGTGACATGATGTTACCTTGGTGTTGAGAAAAAACTCGCTCCAATCCGTTTCCGGAAAAATGTCGTGATGCTGGAACCCGATCATTGGCGCTAAACCCAACATCTTCGTGCACAACATGAACATACCGAAAACCGGTACCAGTGAGAATATGCATATCACCTTACTGTACGACTTCAGACCTATACAAATTAAAAACGGTATTTTTAAAAAAACAATTTTACAGTAATTTTATTATGAGTACCTACCTTTACTTAAGCATATGAACACTATTGTCCATATGATCGTCAGGTTGATAACTACGGGCAACTTCAAAGAGTTGTCGTTCATCTCGAGTTTTTCCAAGTACTTTCTCTGCAGAACTATGCCATTAAAGTAACCCGGTACAGTCTCTTCGATGTTGTAGCTGACATTTGAAGACAAAGTCCAGGGCATGCCGTCTACAACAATATAATATTACATTATACAGAAGACAAAACGATTATTATTAAAGTCACCGTTACCTGCTATAAATCTATAATAATAATAATAACAATAATATTATATAGGTATAACTGCAGCGACACACGCGATGTACAATAATAATATAGTGCGATGACTACTTATTATATTATAGATACAAACCGTATATAAGGAACTTGTATACCTATGGGTACAATAAATTCGTTTCTATATTATATTATATTATATAGTTACCTTCTTTGTACTCTTCGATCGGTTCTGCCCAACGGTAAACGTCTTGTTTCGTGATGAACGAATCGCGAAAATATGTGAACATCCACGAGATGCCAATCACGGTGTATGTGCCGATGAACGCCTGGGCCAGGAGCAGTGCGATGCCGATCCCCTGTAATCAGACGCATAATATAATATAACTTGTCCGTAAATAATAGAACATTACAATAATACAGTAATAACATTTATTATGTGCACTGAGGCAGCGTCGGTACGTCTTATAGACCCATGTATGTTAATATGGCGGCCCCGGAGAAAACGTTACTTTGTCGTTTTTCCGGTAATCCGCAAGCCTCAGGTGCATATAGTGATATTATGTTGTTATTGTTCGAGCTGTCCCGTCGAGTGGATAAAACGGACTTACCTTGAATATCGGTGATATCCTCCACATGTCCATGACCCCGGCGCCTAGTAATTGACCGAGCGAACTGTGAAACGTGAACAGAGGTATGCCGACTAGCAACGATAACACTAGGAACTGTAGTATAAAGTTGGCTGTAAAAGCAAAGAAAAACAAAATATCGGATGAAAAATCAATCTCGAATCATGTGCCCATAATAATTTTATGTTGTATTTAAATGGCCAAGCTATATAATTATCCGAGTAAATTATTGCATCTTTTTGGGGGAAAAAAAAACACTGTTACAGATAGTTTTAAGTATTTATTGTAAAAATTGAGTTATAATAATTTATTTATTAATTCTTTTGGAAAAATGTTGTGATCTATACTTGATGCTTAAAATTACCTAGGTATTATTGTTTTTTTTTTTTTCGAAAACAACAAGATCTACTTTTAAATCCTATTTGAATGAATCACCCCGCGTGTATGTATGTAATGTGTTATTCTACATCTCAAAATAATGCACATAATATTTGTCTCGTTAGTTTTCAAGGACCACATATAGCGACGACTAACGCACCCGGAGGTCTTTGAAAGACTATACGGTGATCCATTTAAAATAATATTAAGACACTCAATATTTTAGAAAACACTATAGTTTTTGAAATTATTTATTTTACATAATTTTAAGTCGTTTCAAAACTACGGTTTTAAGCAAAAATTAGATTTTTAGATTTTTTTATCGTTATCATTTTTCAAATTTTACTCTTTTGAATTTCATACTTATTCTAAGAAAATTATTTTTCGGAATAGGTATTTTAATCTATAAAAATCAAGTTTCGGACAAGTGAATTATTGGTAGCTGGTTGTTTAGTATTTAAAGTCTAGATGAGCGGAGTGGTGGACCAACATTTAATACCCATTTAATTCTAAAATACTTATAACACATAAATTAACCGTCCAAAATTCGGTGTTATGTATCGAAGTATTCCGAAAATATTCTGCTTTGCAATAAAGAATATTTAAAATGCAAATTGTCATTAAAAAAGTAAAAAAAGTAATATGATAACGATATAGGTACCTAACGTAGAAATAATATTAATTTTTTTAAAAAAATGTTTTTTAACAACTTAAAATAAAATAAAAATATTTTTCAAACATCTTAATAATTAGTATCGATCTCCCAGTATATACTTGTATAATACTAGGTTGCCGCAGTCAACAAGATTTCATGCAACATTGTAATATATTATGTACGATATAATCATAGGTCGTATACACGAGTAATGCCGCATTGAAATTTGATCGCAATCGTAATAAATAATATGCGTAAGCACACTAACCTCCAAATTGTACTGCGAGTATTGCGAACCGACTGATGTTAAAGGCTCCCAAAGTACAGCCAAGCGTGGCCAACACGGAACTGTATTTGTTGCTCCATTGGCCTAGTGGACTTTGAGACTCCTGCGACATCTCGTACGCTCTGTAAGAAAAGGAAAATAAGTTATGAAAGTTTGAACATTAATACGTTATTAAAATTTAATTTAATTTATAAACTATAATTCCAGCTTAAATGTATTCGCACCCATGGTCGGCACACGTCGTTCGCGGCGAGTAATTCAAGCGAATATCAAGGACGACCGTCGTGTAATGGAATAAATTATTATTGTGATCACAGTAATAGGTAATTATACTCAATAGATCACCGACACACACGACTGTGATGTCTAATTTCGATACAATTAGTTTGGATGATATATTAACATTCCGTGTTCATATTATTTTCTAAGTACCGTAAAAAATATCGTGAATTGTACAATACAATAATACACATAAGTATAACAAGTTACGAAAGCTCGCCAAATTCCCGGTTTGTAATCATATTATAGTACAATGCATTAAACTAAAAAATATAATGCAATGTAGAGTTTAAAAAGAATTATTAGAACCTTTATAATATGTTGGTACTTATTTGTTAATATAGGCTGTTATGGATCTATATTAACTACTCAATATATATAATATACAAATAATAAATATCAACGAATTGTAATTGTAACTATAACGGACGGACGGCCAAAGGTGTTCTAAACTTATGAGTTACGTTTAGAAACCCATAAACAATAATATTATATTACCTACCTACTGTAATATCTAATATATAAAATGCTCGTGTCACAGTGTTAGTGGTTGCACTGCTCCGTAACGGCTCGACCGATTCTTATGAAATTTTGTGTGTATTATAGTCAGTAGGTCTGAGAATAAGTCGTTAAGTATTTTTCACCCTCCTACCACCCATCCGGGGAGGTGCTCAAACGGAGATTTTGAGATTTACGGTGGACATTTCTGTTTATAAATGGTTGCTATTGGTTATAAGAGAAATAATTAGTAAAAATTAGTATTTATTATTTGGTTGCTATTGGGTAAATCGGGCAGGTCAGGTGCAAGCATGCATCAAAACAAATTTTCGATTATTGCCTGCTGGCTACTTGATATTATGTTGTCGCCCATTGTCCACGATCCGACGATTGCCTACCAGTGAGTTGCACCCAAAAGGAGTTCAACAACCACAATTTTTTTTTACGGGCAACTAATTATAAATATGTAATCACGCAACATAATAGTATAGTATATCTATGACGAGATTAACATCATTAGTTGAAGTCTGTCAATCTTACATTCTTACAGAAACTAAAAGAATTGAGTTTATGCATATAAATGAAGTTCTTGTATGGATTTATTAAGTGTTTTTTAATTGCCCATTAACCTGAGTATCACGGTCCAAAATTATAAAAAAAGTAGTTAACCATTGTAATAGTTTACACAATTTTCGAAAACGTATACCTATGTAATCATGTACCTAAAGGATTGCCTAGATTTGCAATTTGCTAGAAGAACCCTCCATCGAAGTTGATGATCAAAGCATTTTTCTACTACCTAGAAAAAGTGTCTTCAGACACAAAATAAATCACACATCGTTGTGAATTCAATACATTCTTAGCTCCACTCAGTATCTAAAATATAATACGAATATATTTTAATTTATTTTAAAACGGACCAACCGACGAAATTACACGTATCTACACAATATGCACAAGGAACACACCCCTTGGAGACCTTTTTCGAACTGAGAAAATATAACGACACGATATAAAAGATCAGCTGCAACTTAATGATTAACATAATATTGTTATATGTGCGAATGCGAGAATAAAAAACTGTGTGACACAAACAAAGTATTGAGAATTCGTATTATCCACGCGACGTAGGTATATTGATAGAACAATTATTTATTGTTTTATGTAGGCATATATATTATATTATATATATTATGTATAGTTGACCCTGAAATTTCTAAAACTTTATGTACAATGTATTGCCTACATTAATTGTTTTTGCTCAACCGTGTGTTATTTTACGATTTTTTAAATACGTATAGGTGCAATATAATAGTATATACCTATACCGTACAAGACCGGTTGCTATATATATACCATACACTTTATCGTGTACAAACACAGACGAATATAATAATGTTATACTAAATACGATAATCTATATATTATATACAATTTTGTGTGTCGTGTACACGCGAACCGGTTGAGTTTTGTTCGTTTGGCAAATTCGTAATAATATATTATTATTATATTATATAATAGTACGATAATAATATAATACAACGTAGGTATTAAAACACACCTCTTAGATTAAACTTGTGCTTGCAGAGTTCTGGTGTATAATACGCTTACACTGTATAGTACTGTACAGTGTACATGTATATATATATATATATATATTAATACCTAGTGTAATATAGTTGTGAAAAAATATAATAACCCGAACCGTCGCTTTTGTTCTCGGACGGAAAACCATCGCATTCCTAGGCACGCGATTTCGTGCGAATAACCTCGTGAGCAGCCTACACGTGTCTTATATATATATATATTGTATACAGATAGGTACGAGGAAAACTCGCAGCGGGAGAGACGAACGTTTCGTGAAATCAAACCGTCGCGAAACGGTCTCATTAATTTTCCGCTTCTGCGGCGCCGCGACCGTTAAACACATATAATAATTATTATTCCGAGTGATAATAATAACAATAATGTAAGAACCTGCTGCTCGTACGTATGTATTAAGCTGTTAAGTCGTAAACCCAAAGCTATTACAGTCTATAATGTCATATCTACCAACCACGATACCAAACCCAAACATGTTATAGTATAGATAAAAAGCTCGAAACTCCGCTGTCGGCGTATAATAATATTATTATATATTTCAATTATGCCAACGGATCATCGTATGATTGTTATAGTAGACGACATTGCGCGCAAATACGCAATAGAGTGTTGTTCAGTTCCTCAACCGACCACTATTATATTATTTCATAATAAAATATATATTTTACATTATCTAATTACATCTTTACTACATTAAGGCCAATAATGCGTACACACATAATAATATATAATATTATACCTGCATGCTTGCAGCTGCATTGAGACGTCGGTCTGTGTAGAAATCAAAATATGTTTGAAATTTTAATAGACAAACTTAAAGCCACTAATATATTTCTATTTTCTATTTTTCTATATTTCTATTTCAGTTCTACACAATATTGCAATTGCAATGTAATAGGTACCGATCGCCGTCTATAATATAAATATGTATATACCAATCGACATTATACCGTTATTATAGTCAAACGCGTATCGTACACATCGCAGTAACAGTCAATTATAATTTTTATAAATATATTTATCTTCTTATTATGTCTATATCTCTGACTTACTGCAGGCCGCTGATTATAATGATATTAACACGTATTTGGTACCTGCTAATACAGCACTAAAAGGTTAATATTATAATTTATTCTACACAAACTCGAGTAAACGTGAATATTAAAGGAAATATAAATATGTACAATACGTTACTATAATGTCATATAGATACGCCTATATAATATTAATACCACTTGTACCACTGCAGCTAGTCTAGTTAAATGATTTTCTAATTAATATCAAAATTATGTCACAATCGCCTAAAGAAAATACTACTGATTACATTATTATACATTTTATCATCCACTACTTGGTCTGTTACTGTATGTCATTTTTTTTTTATAGAGATTTAAACGGTTCATATGATCTAATAACAACAATACGTCATTAAATTTAACAGTAGGTAGTATGACAGTTGGTAGGTACTAACAAATACAAAAAAAAATACAAGCAATTTGATTCACATGGAAAAGGATACAATGCGGGATTAAATTTTTGTCTCATTAGATAATCATATCATTCAATCGATATAAGATGCTAAGCAAGAATTGGCTTTTGAGAAAATACATACAACACAACAATTTTGATAATGGTTAATTATGAAGAGCTATTTATTGATAAATACATTTATTTTTTAAGATGAATTGTTGTTTTGGTTTTTTTTAAAGGATGCTGCAACTCTTGGCGCAATTTAATATAATAATAATATAATGTGCGTATATTATGTGCATTGTTACACGCATCGAGAATATAATTCTAAACTTCCTATGGATACTGTCGAAACGTCGGCGATCGAGCCGTCATAGATGGACAATGTGAATGAGGTTAGGTCGTGCGAATTATAGAAAAAAACAGAATACTCTCACGTTTGTAACCGTGCGACGGAGCAGTTAAAAATTAAGCCCTAGATTCTCTGGGTACAAAAAAAAAAAACGTCTAAGCACTAAACGCTATAATATAATATAATTATAGTCGGGGACGTGAAGAATTCTACCCGTAAAATATGTAAAAACGGAAGAGGCCTTTTTAAACAAATCATAAATCATTATGACAAAACTTGTATGGATATTGTTTTGTTCCATTTTTTTTTTTGTTCGCTCGCGTATAGAGCCGTAGAGGCCACATTTTAACGACTCGGTAATTGTTATGTATTCTATTGAATATTTTATTTTAATTTCTAAAGAACACACACTACAATACATAATACATATATTATATGTGATGTATATAATATAATTTATTATCCATGATAAAAATGTATGTTTCCTAATGTAAAGATTGATTTGACATAATTAAAACAATTAAATTTAATTGCATTGATATTATAATAATATATTATTGTCACTCACTCGTCGGCGCATTCTCGTACGTCGATAATGCTTCCATACCGATTGGTGACGACTTCGAAACGCGGCATTTAAGTACGTTCGCGGTTAACACGGCACTTAAATCTCCGAGTACGCCGAAAAATGTTCTCGGCTAACACAAAACCGATCGTTGTCGTCGTCGTCGTCGTGGTCCGAACATGGTCGCCGCACTAATGAACGCACGGCGCGTCCAGTTTTTTCAGGATCAAGGGAACGACGACGAGTTACGTGAGTAACCGCCGCTGCGGATAAGTCGCTACAGTATGGCGAATAAAATTGTTGTTTTTTTTTTTTCCGCCAAGGACGTCCACTGCAGCAGAGTATAGTAAGTTTTCAAACGCGGAAACTCGAGAATATATATTTTTGTCTTACACCACAGCCAGCCAGTTCGTCGTGAACAACGAGCGCGGAAAGCCGATGCCGCTGCACACACGTGTTCAACGAATTATTTATTGTGATCTATAATATTATTATTATTACGTTACGCACAGCAGAGAACGTCACACGAACAATCATTTAAAACTGTCGTTACATATTATTATAATATCATTACGCGTGTGTGGGGCACGGCGCGGATGTACTCGCGACGGAGTACGATTCGACACTGAACCTTTAACAACAACAACAATAATAATAATAATAATCTCGCGACGCGTCTGGGAGGCGAATCGCGCGTGGTTTTCAGTCCCCGTCTAGTCCGTCTCGTCCGGTCTCTCTTTTCTCCGTTCCAGCGGGTCTCGCCGCGATTGACCTAATAAGGGACCGGTCACGAAGTTCCTGCTGGTCTCGTTATCGTTGTTTGTTTATTTTTTGTTCTCCCGCCGTGCTTTTAAACGCACGCGATGAGTCTAATTCACCGGACTTGCGTACCTATATATCTACCTACCTAGTCGGATATAATACGCCAGCCGTACTTGTACGGCCCGGGGGAAGTGAGAGGGGGGGGGGGGCGACAACAATGAAAGGAAATAAATTTATCGTTTCTTTGTGTACGCATATTATACAGGGTGATTCACTGAGCTCACCCGATTTTTTTTCTTCAACAGTTATTCAAAATCTGAGTTTTGGAACATTTAAATATACATAAACACTGCGCTCTAAAATTGTTGTGATTTTCTGTGCCACTTAAGGACGGTGACCTATGTAGATATTCAGTATAGTATAAACATTTGAATAACTGAGAAACTACTAGTTTAAATTTTGAATTATACATTAAGGTACATTAAAATTAAAAAAAAAAAAATGATTACTAAATAATTTACAGTAAAAAAGGGGGTTCTCATTTGAAAAATAGAAGTTTATATCACCACAGGGCACACTTTAAGTAGTGTAAAATAATTTAAGAATACGAAAACATAGACGTTGAGTACTTTTTAAAAATCCAAAATCAAAATTTGAATAAGTTCGTTATCAAAGGAAAAAATGGGGGTGAGCATGCTTGCGGTGAATCACCCTGTATTATAATATTATTACATTATCGTAGTATTTTTTTTTCTCGTTTCCCCGAGTTATATACTGCGGCACGCACAAGCCGCACGGACGACTAGCGACTTCATAATAATATGAGATTATTATTGCCCGACCATTGACTATTACTCCGCGACGACCCAGATAAGTTACAGTACGAGGTCCTAGATAATTTGAATCGAAAAATATAGCGAAACAAAAATAACAACACGGAGGACGGACGAAAATCGATGTTTGATAATATAATATATAACATGCAGCTGCAAAAGAAAACATGTAGCGATTTCATTGAGCCCAATCGTTCACCGTCAACGCGATTCGACACGAGCCAGTCGGTGTCGAGTTTCACCGAGCAATTTCCCCAGCAGCACGTGAACAGGAAATTTACCAACGACAGCGATGGCAACTCGATACCGACGTGGAGCTTCCTATATCGGTCGCGTTACTGTATATTATGTACCCATGATTTGAGTCTCCTCGAGATTATAGCTAAATCCACTGTCACAGTGCCGTCAATTTATTAGAATTATATTTCTCGATATCCTATCGTAACTGCTGCAGGTCGTATTATATGATATATTATATACATATACCTACTTCCGAGGGCGGTCTAATATAGAAATGTAAAAGGGGCGATGGCTGGACTCGACATGTGCACCCGTATATAAATCATATTGTAAATAAATTGTGTAAAATATAAATTAAAATATTTACTCGTAGATGACAGTGTTGGGTTTATCTCACTTATACAAGTTTATCGTAGCAGATAAGTTTTAGAGTATTACACATTATTATATTATAAGCCAAATGTAGTCTATATATTATGATATATATAAAAATGAATGTTTGTATGTCTGTCTGTTCTTTATACATTCTTATATTCCTAAACCGTTCGTCAAATTGCGATGAAGTTTGGTACAGAAATAGATTAGACCTCTGGGATGGGCTAATTTAAAAAGGGTGAGATCCGACCTGGGAGGTGCTCAAACATTGATTCTGAGATTTACGATCATCCTAACCCTCTTATAAAAATCTAGCAGTCCCTTCGATTCCGGGTAACCCCTTCAGACGTCTCAAACGTAATTGGTGTCGTGACGTGCTAGATGCTTGAATCCTAGATATCAAATCCTCCTACTAAACTCCAAACAAAATAGGTAGTGTCATCATTGGGTGGCTTCTTCCGTCATATTACTCATGTTTTTTATTACTCTTATCCAATTTGCTTATTGTTCTCTGAATAGATTGTAAATATCTTGAAAAAATAAAAAAAAATGATTTACGATGGAAATTGTTGTTTGTAAATGGTTGCTATAGGTTATAACAATAATCAGAATTTTTTGAAACGGGATTGAGAAAAACATAACGGTTTCGAAATTGAATGAAATATAATAATAATAGTATTATTAATACTGCATAGGTCATAACTTCTCGCCGCGTAATGCGAATATCCACGATTTGATCGTATACGTCTCGACGTATGTTTATAGTTTATATGGATGTGATTTAAGTTACGCGTGCGTCACATATTATAATAATAATTATTATAATGATATATATTTGCGTTCAATGCAAGTTGTCATAGGAAATGACTAATGGGATTCGCGTGTGTTATCTCAGATTTTTTTTGTATTCAAATCATCGCACGATTCGGTATCTCACGTGGCCCGCCGTGTGTTTGTACTTTGTAGCATTGTACTTGCATTCAGATCACGCGTTATTGGTCCTATTGTGTTTCGTACAGCTAGCGTGGTGGATACTTTGCGGGGCGTTAAAATTCCTAGCTCAAAGCGTGGCGATAACAATGCCCGCGCGGAGAACATCCCGTGGGTATAATCATTATTATAATATTAATTCGTTTCGATGTTATTTTATTATTATTTTTGCGACCGCTTCTTTAGAATACTAAATGTGTGCGTCGTCGACGGGCCATCCGTGACGAAAACGGCTGTAAACGTTGGTTTTAAAACGCCGTGTCAATTAAATTTGAAATATTAATAATAACGATATTTAGTGGATACATAATATAGGTACCTATTAATAATAATGTTTACGTTTTAAATAGCATATTTTTTTTTATTTTTAACGACGAAAGGAGTAGGTATAATATAAAATGTATGTATGTATAGTATAATAGGTATATTAATATGTACGTTTATATGAGCGCGCCAGGGTGTATTTATGTCGAATAATTAATTTAGACACGAATAGTTTATCACTAATTATTAAAAATTACGATAGATCGTGGGGATGTGATATTTATGTAAATAATGACCAGCGTAGAAAAAATTACGTCTAGTCATATTATAAACTTGATCATTTTCCATCTGGAGAAAGTGTGTATATTTTCACCACAGACGTGTGATGTCTCGAAGAGAAAATTCGGTCAATTGCTAATTATTGTAGTTATATTTTTTTCGGGGTAAACGAAAAAAAGAATCGCATATTTATTTTCTAAATATACGAACTCTCGTGTTGGGAAAGTGCAATCGATCAACAAATCACATCTTATTACAGTTACCTATAGTGACAGTATAATATGGGCAATAGCTGGCATTCACACGAACAGATTTTTGTACGCATTTAACAACTATGACCTTTGGACTAGATACCTAATATTTTATTATTGTAACGGATTTTTGTGCAACGGCGTCTCCTTGAATTAAGTACGCTCACGAGAGATCAGCAGAATCGGACAACCGCGCTTTTTCGGCTCGAACGCACATAATAATATTCGACCTCAACCCAAATTTCACTGCGCGTTCTGTCCGGTGTGTGAATATGTGATACATAATAATATATGGGTACCCACCGCAGCCTCTGATCGACGTGATCGTTACACGCTCGGACCACAAATGAAACAATAATATCTATATAAATGTATTATAATGAGTAATGACGACGGACCTGCACTGTGAATAGGAATGACACTAACGTGGTTGGAAACCTGTTGATGTTATTAATAGTGTACCTGTTGGAAATTACAACATGCCTATATGGCTATATATGAAGATGTGTTGCAAAGAGCGCAATTATTTTAATAGAGGGTAAATAGTATTTGAATATCATATAAGCTGTAGGTATTTCAACTGATAATTATTGCAGTTTAGTACATATTATTAATATGTGGTATACTAATGTGAATTGTAATAACAATAATATGTAGGTACATAACAAAAATGAACATTATGGACTCCTCCTTCCCGGGCAGAAAATTTCAGGGCATGTTATAAACTTATAAATTATAGTATGATATCGACCCTAACTGTCGAGGGTCGGTGGCGGCGGAGACTGAAAAACGCGCGAAAATCACCGCCAAAACGATATATTATAATTTTGTTTTACTTGGAGTGAACATCCGGTGTACGCGGGACGGCGGTGTTTCTACAACATAATAATATTATATAGTATCGTTTCGCCTGTCGCGAAAACCGTTGTGTGTACGAATAATAATTTAGGTGTTCCTATGTCGACGACGAAAATACTAACAGCATAAAATATAATTAATAAAGTAATAATAATAATAATTATTAATACGAAACAGCGAATAAAAAGGCGGCGACGACTAACTATAAAAAATAAAATA